AGGCCCACTGACCTTCTGATGACTCGTGACTTCGTCCCTGCTTCTCCCCAGCTCCTCGGCAAGTTTCACGTTCTCCTCTTGCAACGCTGAAAGCTGCTGGGACTTCTGAGCGGCTGCCTGCTTTAGGGTTTCTCTGCAAGGACAGTGAGTGCAGGGTTACCATAGAAACAAGACAGGCAAGGAAACTGTGGGAGACGACCAGCTTCACAGCACTGAGGAAAATATATCTGGGTCACATGCCTGATAGGATCTATAATAACAGGAGGCAGTGTTATCTACGTACAGGAGGGGTTCGATGGCTTTAACCTCTCAGGAGGACTGTCGTCCACAATTATTAGGTTTTTTTTAAACCTAATAAACATTACCTCCAGCCTTCACCACCCACACTCACCTTACTTCTAACTGCTCCCCATACAAAAAGCAATGTTACTACAAAATAAATGACGAGTGAAGTGGTCAGTATCCGTCTTGTCTTTGGGACTATTTCTATTAAAAAATCACACCAGAACCCACTATGTTGACAAAGGGACTTACGCTGCAGCAAGGTACTTTTGCTCTAACTCCACAAAGCTGTAATCTGTTGAGGCTTTTTTCTGGCAGAAATCAAAATCTAATAGTCTCATCTGCCAGATTCTATCAGAATCAAGTGCTGCCGTGAATCTGAGTATATATTTCAGACAAACAGGTAAAATCCCAAAGAAAATGGCAGTTTTCTAGTTACATAACAGATGCCTTATTTTGTCTGTATTCTTTCCATAATACTAACTTATAATTAAAAGCAGCAAATAAAAATATTGCCTGCTGACTTATATTATGAATATCAGCATATAAAATGTGAGCAGGGTATGTTTATCAAGTATCTTCCCATTATTAAAATTAATCCAAAATATGCATCTCAAATTATTACCCTTTTCACATGGATATTCAAAATACTTTATTTGATCACTAGATTTTAGTTTTATGCCATAGCAGGTTTTGATGCAATTATGACTTTTAAGTCTGTGCTGGCTAAACTCCATTTAGGGAGCTGTCATACGTGGCTGTATTCTGAATCCAGTCATCTGGGTATGAATCCATCTGCTGATGCATGAACACGTCTATTTTTAACTCCAATTGTCTAATGGGTGGCGGTGCTTGGCATCCTTTTTTTTTTTAATTTTTAACTCTCCATCCACCTATAATATGCCTACAGGGATGACCTCATGAAGGTTTAGATGACTAAACTACACAAAAATCCTCTTAGCACATTAAATTCAGCATTTCAAATAGATGTTTATTTAGCAAGTGAAGAAAAATGAAGAGGAATTTTAGTCTCAGGTAGTCGCTTAAAATCTGGGAGGCTTGATTTTAATTATGGATCAAAATACACACACATCATAAAGTTCATCTGTCTAAAGTCTATCAATTCTTGACAAATCAGAAGATTTTACTTATGATGAAATCATCATAAGCCAAACCATTCCTTCCCAGGTGGTCGCTGCCTTCATTAGGGGCTGTTTGGTCTCAGCATTTGTGTGGCCTGTCAGGGATGCTTGTGACCCTCTTCTCTATTAAAGATTTTCATCTTTTAAAGTTTTTAAAATCCTTGATTTCTAGTAAAAGCCCACAGCAAGGAAAATTAAAACAAGGAGGCTAAGAAATATCAAAATGTCCTAAATATTTGTTCAATGTTTTAAAATCTGCAACATGCTTCCATGTACATTTTCTCAGTTAATTCTCAAAGCCTCAGGAGGCTCATGTTGTTATCAGGTTTTAAAGGTGAGAACACGGAAGCGCAGGGAACTGAAATGTTGTGTCCCGAACCACGGCGCCAGGAAACGGTAGAAGAACTGGACTTAAAACTGGCAGAAGGACCTCAGCTTTCATTCAAACATAGAAGCACCTTTTCCTGTTGAGTGTGGCGGGTACAAGCGCCTCACAGAGCAACGAGGCTCTGACAGCCTGACTCCAGGAAACATCCTAAGGAGCAATTTTGAAAACACCTACAAATACATTTCTAACAATTTTTAAGCTACTTTTATTTTTATATGACAAGATATCATGAAACAGAAAAGAAGAACGTGTTTTAAAACTGAGAAGTAAAATAAACATTGTTAATATTGACTCGCAAACATTCTACTTGGGAATCGCTCAGAAGTCTATTGACTGCCATACTAAATATATTCTAGATTTATCACTGTGCCAGGTGAGTCAAATAAAAAATCAGATTGCTTATATTATTTTCCCTAAGATTCAATTTATACAAGAGAGAGAAACCATTTTCTTCTCTTTCTATCTGAAAACGGGAACTAGCTAATCAAACTCAAGAGTTTTCCTAAAACCAGTCTAGTAAGCAGCATAGAGGAAAAGGACCCTTCAGTGCTAAGTGCTGGTTTCCACTGCCAAGGGCAATATTCTGGGGGAGACAGTTCCCATCAGACCTCCTGTGTCTGTGTTGGTGTCCCTTTTCCTCCAGGAGCCGTAGTCCTGTCTGCTGAGGGGACACGGGACAAGCTCCAGAGGCCGTGGAGAGCCCTGTGTGTATGCTGAACCACAGAACAAACGGCTGCTCACGCTCCAGCTTTCTGCACTGAGGAACCAAGAAACAGTGAAATGACTGCTTTTTCTTTTTCTATTTTTTGTTTTGAGATGCACCGTTCCCATTACATAGCACATTTATATCAGATGGTCCTTGTCACGTGGCCACGTCTACGGCAGGGCAGTCTGAGTCACTGAGGGCAGGGGCTCATGCAGCCTACTCCTCAGACTTCCCCTGCCAGCTCCTGGTGTTATGTCAAGTGACCCACAGACAACCTGCTTCCCTCGGGTCTGGTGAGCCAGAAAGGTGAGAAACAAAAGCAGCCCAGGCCTGTCCACCCTGTGGTCCAGCTCCTCCTCGCCTCAACCACTCCCTCAGGGACCAGAGGCCCGGGGAGAGCGGCTCCAGGCAGGAAGACAGGCCAAGCTTCGAGGGACGGCAGTGGGGGCTGCGATCTTCTGCTCCTGATTCTCAGCTTCTACAGACAGGGGACTAAGCTTTCATTATTCAGTGGGACCCTTAAAGAAAGGGGACACAAAACACAACTGATCTCTTCCTAGAGGTGAAGCCACCCATGCTGATTGGGCATGGGTGACATGACAGAAAGATTCAGTAAGGATGCTGAACACTTTACTAGACCAATGTAATGACCATACAAAAGACTTCAAAGTCCTGTAGCAGGAAAGAAGAATTTCATCCAACCCCTGAGCTCTCTTGGCCAGGCCCGCCCTGGCCAGGCCCCCTTTGGGTCGGCCCCTCCACTACCTAGTGCAGCCCAGGAAGCTGGGAGGTGGGGTCACACAAGGGAGAGGCTGGCTAAGGAATCTCCTGCTGCTCAGAGCCTCCCTCACCAGCTGCCCTGGTGACACAAATGAACTAAAGTCAACTTAAAGGGCTCCAGATGTTACATGTTAGCATAACTACTTGTGTCACAGGGAAAAAACCCTGAACTGTAGTGAATCCGCCCTCTCTGCATTGATCCCGAATTCATTCTTCCCATCACGGTGCCCACGGTCTGCATTACTGGGCTTTGGCAGGTGAAGAAATTTAAGTCTCTCCTGATGGCCATAAGCACAACTGTAAATTTATAGATCTGGCATTGGAATTGTTGGGAACTGCTGAAACGCCATCTAGAAAAGTATCATTAAAATTTAGACTAAGGACGGACTCAGCCATCAGCCTCATGAGTAGCTTGGTTGAGATGATTTCGAGGAGGATTTTAAGAACTCTCAGAAGAACTAGACATACACTAGTTCAGTTCAAGTTTGACCAACAGATAGTACTGAAGATGGTGACTCAGGAATGGAAGTTTGGAACTGATTCTTTTGTTTTTGTTGACTCTCATCTATTTGTTTGATAAGAACTGGAAATAATATAAACACCTGGTGGGCGGGGACCACATGTAATTCATCTTTGTATCCTTCCTAGCTTAACTGCACCTAGTGTGAAGGACATACTCAAATGTTCACCAGATTCATTGGCTTTACATTTTTAGTTTCACACAGATGATGCCGCCTAGTTCTCAGAAGAGCAAAATGAAACCTACACTCTATCATTAAAAATGCTAGATAAATAACCATCTGCAATAATTATAATAACCAAACTTAAAAGGCAGTGGGTGACCAGGGCACATGGATGGCCCTTCTGCCTGAAGTCTAGCTAACAGTCACATGTGTAAATCTTGATTAGAAAAAGTCTTCCAAAATTCTGCTCATTTAATTTCCATGCCAGAAGATTTGATTACTCTTAAAATCAAGATCACCAATCTTAGTAATGCTTTTTTTAATAGAAAATATTTTGAGGGATTTATTAATAAAAGGGTATTGTATAAACATACTACTTTAGAAAAACTGATTTCACTTGTATTTTTGTAAAGCTACATACACAAAGTCACATTTGAATCTCAAATGTCCTAACCATCGGCCAGCACCATTTCATCATTTTGATCCGTTACCTTACCTATAGTTCTGACATGACAGTGATTATAGGGTTTACGTCTCAGGTGTGCAATAGCATTTGGGGGACAGGAGGGTGACAATTACTTTTTACTTCATGTACTTGTCAAGTGTTTTTTAAGTAAATAGCACTGTTTTCACTTTGGTGATTTTAAATAAGTTCCACAACTTCTCTCAAAGGAGATAAACTTACATTTCTCTCCTGAATTCTTCCATTTTTTGATTCTCTACAGTCAGAAGTTCTTTTGATTTATTCAGCTCCTCCACATTTTTCAAGTTGTTTTCTTTAAGTGTATCCAACTTAAAGACCAAGAGAAAAAAACTGGATGAAATTATTTCCCTTTCCAATGACATGACTGGACAATGACAAATTATTCATGAAAATGTGCATTAAAAATAAGTCACCTGCCAAAAAATAAAAATCACCTGGGTGAAGAGATTACAAATGACCAAGTCTGTTATAAACTGCAAATCTCACCATTATATTTAGTCAGACATTTCCTATATACCTGGCCAAAATGTCAAACTAAATTGCTTCATAAACCGAGTTTCCTTTCGCCTCATGTATAATTCTCAATATGTATTATTGAACCTGTCATTCAAGTATGAAGCATCTTTAAAAAAAACAAATAAACCGAAAAGCATGATGTCAGTAAAGATTACTTTCTGTAATGAAAAAAACCCTTTTCCTTCCCATAGGTTAGCAATTTAGGATACAATGTTTTTCAACGGCAGTACTAAATTTACATGGTCCTCATGAAAAAATGACTTGAATCAAAATATTTGTACATGGGAAAAGATTTACCCATCTGAACGTCAATGTGAAGAGGGAAAGGCCATGTAGTGAAGCTGAAACGCATTCACATATGATCATACGTCCAGCCCCATCGCCTGCCCACGGGGGAAGCGAGCAGCTTGGGGCCTGGCCGTGGCGGGAAACCCAGTCACGGGAGTGAGAGGGGATGTGACCAACCACAGGGGGCTGGAGCTCTGGGTGCGGAGCCCCCGCCAAGGATGGGGGCGTGTTACGGGCCATCCCATCACGCAGGGTGTGCTCCTGGTGCCATGCTGGCTTTCTGGGACCTGCGTAGTTATCAGCGACAGCCACAGGCACTTTTGCCATGTCACATGTCGGCAGTCAGGAGTCCTAGAAAGTGTCTTGCTAGTTTTTACACCTCCGTCTTCCTTTTAATTCCCTCTAACATTCTAGATTCGCAGGATGAGAAAAACACAATATCATAATGAGTCTAAACAATGAGTCACGCAGTCCTGCGTTCGGGCTGTAACGAAGACACCAGGGGTCACGTCGCAGAAGCACGCGGCTCTCCCCGACTCTGCCCTCAAAGGTTAGAGACAGTCCCTACGATCTTCTCATTTACTTCAGCGTCTAATTTTGATTATCGTCTATGATTTTTTAATGCTTTTATATTTTTAGCTTAAGTCATTTTCTCTTAGGACTGTCAGTTCTATAAATGTACTCCCTTCTATGTCAAGTTTTATTTACCTATAATTCTCTCTCAAAATATTCAGGTCTTTCACAGATTTCCATCTTTGACCTTCCATAACGAGAAAGCCCAGTCTTTAGAGTAGCCATTCAAAGTGGCTCTCGCTTCCCCTGCTTTAATTCCTAAGGTCTTACCTGCCTATCCCTTTGAAAAGCTTCTGAAGTTCTACAGAAAGTCACATAACTATTTCTGCTTAGGATTTATGTGACATCTTTCCAAAGAAAGAAAGGGTCGGTATGAGCTGGGAGAGTGGAAGGAGGGAAATCAAAGAAGGGTGCGAGAGTGAGAAATGCTGCTTTTAGACAGAACCGAAATGATCTTGACACCACAAATGTGTTCAAGACCCAGGAGAAACTAATATAAGATGACGCCTTAGGGAACCAGTACTGAATCAGGCCAAGAAAAGGCCTACGTCAAACTCATGGGCTAAGGAAAGGATTTTAGTGGCTCGAAGTGGGGAGAGAATTGAGGGGAAAAAAATGTATGTGATTTAAGATAAAAGATACAAAAACTACAGAATGTTATCAGTGCCTTCTCTCATTAATTCTATCACTGAACAATTACCATAAAAAGCCACGCTATTAGGGTTTTCCCCTCGTTCTTTAAAGGTTGACCCTACTGAATAAGCAATGAAGTAATACGCTTTATTTTAACATCGTTGTGGTTCTGGCGTACATTCGACCCCACTAACGTAGGTCAAACCTGTGTGAGGCCACGCTTCAAAAAATAAACAACCCTGAGTTAGTGACCGAACATCGCATGAAGTCGATAAGCTGTCCTCTGTACAAAAAGCCATTTAAATCTGATTACTTCATTCTGTAGTTTTTCATTTGTTTGCTTGGTGTCCTCCAAGGAGGCCAGAGTTTCGGTCTTCTCTTTAGTCATCTGTTCCATTATCTGCATGGCGTCCTCTGCTGTCTGAGCAGCCTAAGTACAAGAAAGCTCCGTAAGAAGTGAGGAAGGACACTCCCCGCCAACCGCAGCAGGCTGATCCTCGGGCTGTGTGCTTAGGGAATCACACAGGGTGGATGGGCCTGCCACCAGCCCAAGAGCAAAACAAACAGGCTAAGACACGCAAGGTCTTTAAGCCCAAGTAAAACAAGGTGACACACCCTTTTCAGGCTGTTTTTCAATAAGCCCATTGTCATATGCAATTTGCATAATTTCAGACCCCTCAATACCTGCACCTTCTGATGCAGGTTCCAAGTTACAGGGACAGTCATGCTCATCGTTCTGGCTTGTGTTTGAAAGGAATGGTCAGAGACAATAAAGACCGACATGCTTACACGGCTAAAGTTTTTCTCTCAATAATATTTACTGTTGTAAGTTTAAAATACTATTCTTGCTAATTTGGGGGCCTGTGAAATCATTCCGAATTTAGGTTGGGAATTTTTCAAATAAAAATTATTTGGGCAATAACACAAAGTTCAAGTGTTTAACGAGAAACGCTGGATGGAAAAATCTATGAGGAGCTGTGAGTAATGAATAAACATGGCTGTGAATAAAAAAGATAATATGCATATGGAAACAAATCCCTAGCTGAAGAGATATAAAAAATGATCACAGAAACGAGTTAAAATCTTTTTAGGCACTGGCTTCTAATTTCATGTGGTCAATAAAGCCCATGGGAATTCCGCATTACACCTGCCTATGACCGGCCGTGGAAGTTTCGCTGGAACCTTCCACTGCACATGGATAGACACATGAAACAGTTAAAAGCCAAACAAGGTAACTATGTACTTCAAAGGTGCCCATTTCACTGTTGTTCTTAAGCCTTTAAGAACCACGGTTGAGTTTTTCATGAATATTTCCCTTTAAATTAAATATATATATATCCTTGTTATTCACAGTGTACAATTTTTTCTAACGGAAAGAGACGACTGCAATTAGCATTTAGTAATGGGTCGCCCTGTCAGGTGGCAACAGACAGCCTGAGCCCTGGAAGCAACAGATGAAACGGGCCGATTTCCTTATGTGGACATGGACACGGATGGATGCCCTAAACCGCTAACGAGTTAGTGCAGGGGGTTAGTAGCCGGTGCTCAGTCCTGGGACCTCCCACTTTACCGTGAACGAGTGAAGAGTCTCGAGCTCTCTAATTTTAAGAGTGAGCTTGCTCTTGTCTTTCCTCAGAACCCGGCTTTCATTTTGAGATTCTAGGAGGTTGGCTGAAATGTGGCTGTTGGTTTTGGCCAGTTGGCTGACCTCCTTCTGTAGGAGGAAGTAGTTTTCGGCCAGCTTTTCCTTCTCCTTCAGGAGCTCATCCTTCTCCAGGATCATCTCTCTCTTCTCGGCCAGCAGGTTCTTGTTGTCCTGCATCGCCTTGGCCCGATCGGCCAGGGTCACCTCGTGGTTCAGCCGCAGGTCGTCCAGGATCTTGGTGAGGTAGCTGTGCAGCTCCTGCAGCTCTAACTTGGACTTGGACAAGGAGGCAAAATCGCTTTTCAGGGTCTCTATGTTGGCAGCGAGTTGCGCTGTTTCCGCACTCAAGAGTTCCTTTTCCTTAATTATCTCCACCACTTTTTGCTCCGATTTGCTCTTTTCTTGGATCAGTACAAAATTTTCAGACTGGAGCGCCTTCATAAGCACCCTCGCCTCTTCCAGCTCCTGCTCCAGGAGCACCACCCTCCCGTGGAGCTTACTGCTTTCGTACAGGGCGGACTCGCTCTCCTTCGCCCTGTCCTCCTTTTCCAGGATCAAGGCCTGCTGCAGCGTCTGGATCTCCTCCTTCAGTTTCCGACACTCCTCCTGCAGGGTCAGCCCGTCCCTCAGCAACACGCTCTTTTCTGAACAGCAAGTCTTAAGCTCAGCATTCAAAGTCTCCTTTGCTTGCAGGATGTTAGTGTGTTCTTTTTCTAGATGCCTTTTGGCATTTTGAGCCTCTTTCAGCATCAAGGAGAGCTCACACTTGGTGGCTGCCAGTTCTTGGTTTTCTTTTTTCCTCTCCTGAAGTTCCTTCTTCAGTGCATCAATATTACCAAGCAATTTCATCTTCTCATGCACAATGATTCTTCTGTTTGCAGACTCCTGATCGTATTTCCTTTTAAGCTCTCCCACGGTTTTGATGGAATTTTCTCTTTCTGTAAGTAAATCTCCGTTTTGCATTTCTAGCACAGATTTTTCTTTCAGGAGACTATCTAGCTGCTTTTTGAGCTTCGTAATTTTCTGACAAATCATCTCCTTCTCAGAAGTCAGGTAAGTGACCTTCTCGTTCAGGCTCGTCTCAATGTGGGCAGCCTCTTCCGAGCGCTTGCTGAGTTTTTTAGCGATGAGCCTATTTTCATTCAGGAGTTCCTCTTTTTCGGCCAAGAGCCGCCTCTCAGACGAGGCCAAGGTTTCCTTTTCATGCAGGAGCTGGATGCACTCAGAGTCTGTGATCTCTCGACTGGTCTTAATTTCTTCCAGGAGCTTCGTGAGGCTGGCATTGGTAGCCTGAAGTTGCGCGGTCTCCAGCTCAGACTTCCTCAGAGCTTTGCTGATGTCATCCAGCTGTGTGCGGAGCCCGCTGGCTTCAGTGCTGAGCAGCTGTTTGAGTTGGAGGGTGGCCGCCAGGCTGACATTCAGTTTTTCCTGATCTTGAAGCAGCACGTCCTTCTCAAAGTGTAGTTCTCTGTTGCTCTGAAGAAGTGTGTCTCTCTCTACCGTTAAGGATACGCACATGTCATCCAGACCTGACTGTTTCTCTAACACTGACCTTTTCTCAGCTGTGAGATCTTCGATATCCTGCATCAAGGTTTTCTGATCTTTGACTAGCTCCTCGTAAGAGCTCTGAAGCTTCTGAATGATCTCATCTTTATCTTTAGTCAAGGCAAGGTTTTCGATAACGAGCTGCTTGATATGATCCTCCATGAGATCTTTTTCTTCCCGATTCTTCTTAGCCTCAGCAATCAAATTATCTTTGCTGAACTGGAGTTCTTCTACGAGTACCTGCAAGCCTTCTCTGGAAGCTTGCAAAGAGTCATTTTCCATATTTATCTTCAAGAGTTCTTCCTGGGCAATATTGATTTCTCTAAGCAATTTCTCTCTC